TGTTGCTCCCGCACCTCGCTCAGCCAGTGAGCGGGAACCAGTCTGTATGTGGGATCTGAACCCTCGGGCGGAAGCACCGCCGCGCTTCCCAAGCGGCGCACTTATCCAGTGCGCCACCGGGCCGGCCCCTACTTTCTTTAAGTTTAATTAGCAGTTCTTTTTCTGATTCATTGAGAGGGATGTTTTCTCTTTTCTAATATATGCTTTTAAAACAGTGATTATTAACTTTAGCTGTGCAATGGAATCGCCTGGGGAGCTTTCAAATGCTTGGGTCTCACCCCTAGAGATTCTGATGTAATTGGTCTGAGACATGCCTTGGACATCATCAGCTCCCCAAGTGATTCTGGGTGCAGCTAAGGCAGAGAACCACAGATTTAAATCTATACCCTCCAAGTACAACTTTAACTGCATCTCACAAGTTTTTAATATTTCTTCATCATTCAGTTCAAATCAGTTTAAAATTTCTGCTGTGATTTAATTTATATAAATTTTTAAAATAGGCTTCTACAGAATTGGTGATATTATGTCTCTTGTTCTGGGTAGTGGTTAATGAGCATGTTCAATTTTTGATAATTTACTGAGCTAGACCCTTAGGATTTGTAAATATTTCTGTAACTTTATACTACACTTCAATATAATATTTTTAAGAGAAAAAGCAGATCCCACACAGGGAGTGGGAATTATAATGGCATTAGCATTCTCAATATTATACTGGAAACTAGAAGAAATAACACAATGCCTTCTAAATTCTAATGGAAAATGATTTCCAGCTTAGAATTCTGTATCCATATTTTCAATCAAATAGTGAGTGTAAAATAAAGACATTTTCAGTGAGGGAAGCCCACAGAAAAGTTACCTCCCATGCACCTTTTCTTAGAAACCTCTTAGAGAATGTGCTCTAGTAAAAGGAGAGAATATATAGAAAGATGAAGACATGGGATATGGAAAATGGAGACTCCAACATAGGAGAAAGGCAGGAGAAATCCCCAAGGGAAACAGAAAAAAAAAAAAAAAAAAAGAAAGAAAGAAATTCCCAAGATGACAGTTGTACAGCAGGCCTCAAGAACAACTAGTGCACTTGGGGGCAGGACGCTGGAGGGTTCTAGGGCAGACATATCCAAAAGAAATCAGAGCCAAGAAGGTACCTGCTTATGTTTGACTAAATTGAGAGATATTTCTGTTCTGTCACAGTACAAGGCTGTATCAGGAGTAGGTATATAGAAAAATCAAATGATTAAAACCAAAACATGCAAATACTAGAAAAAAGCAAATAGTGACACCTCCCCCATCAAAAAAATAAATAAATAAATAAGGGGGTACTATAATCACAGTTCACTTGAGCTGTAAATAGGAGTTTTATGGTCATAATAATATAAATAGGGATCACTGATGTAGCCAAGCTACATCACTGATGTAATATATCTGTATTAAATGAACGGGAGGAAGGAGATTTTGTATGTGTTTGTCATGTGGGGGGAGTTGGTAGGTGAGATAATGTAAGACAGTAGGACAATTTCTACAGTCTGACATCAAAAGATAACTGAACTAAAAAATTAAGAATTAGTGGTAAGCACAGAGAAGTAAAAAACACCTGAAGCAATTTAAACTGAGGGGAAGTGGGAAGGCATGAGGCAGGCTGTTGCTGCTTTCTCTTATAAGCACTGTAGCACTTATTTGTCTTTTCCAATTATTTGTACATAGTACTTTCAGAAAAATAAAATTAAACTAAGAAAAAACTATGAAAATAAAAGAGATTCCCAAGGAACTAAAAAATAATTTTTAGTTTTAAAACTGGATAATCACTGGAACATCTCTTGAACAAGCAGAAGATATGTAGCTCACATCAGTAACCATTATTATTAAATTTTGTTTTAGTCCAAAATTCTCCCCATATAAAGAGTCACATTTTCTACTATTTAGTATAAGGCACATGCAAAGCTGCTCCCACCAAAAGCCAGAACATACAAACCAAATGTTTTCATTTTATCAGGTTAGACCAAATTTACATTTTGTAATTTACATGTAACTCTTCAGGAACAAGTACAAAGTAAGTTTGATCTGCTGTGGAAACAGAATTATTCTTTTATCTTTTATGAGCTGATACTCAATTAATGGAATTAAGTGCTTGAATCAAAAAGACTGATATAGTTTGTATAAGTGAAATTACCTGAAAAAAGTCACGAAGAACTGTACCAGGTCCATAAAATTGCTGTGCTGGGAGAAGGCAATCTGTGACAGAAAAACAGGCAGTGTGATTATGTAGGTTACGAAATAGCACCACTGGCTCAACCTTCTCATTTCAAGAATTAAGCTGAAAGACAGACTTTACATTTTAAAGAAGAAATTAATGGAATTTTTTGCAGTTAAGGAAAAGTGCCTCACCCTTTAGTTTCTTTTCTTATTTAGTTGCCAACCCAAAAAGTAACATTCTGAGGCTTCAGCACAACCAACAGCCCCCCTGTGAACTTTACAATAGATCTGCAGTCCTTTTCATCTGTCCCTGGAAACCCCTCAGCCCCCCACATGAATCCCTAATGGCAGGCGGGCTACCTCAAGGTAGCCTCATTTTGTGCCCTTCATCCCATCAATATGTATGTACTCAGTGTGTACTCACTTTGATACTGTCCTTTTTTAAAAGAATTGTCTCAAGTTTTGCTACAATGAATATGAACTGACAATATGTCATCAGTTGGAACTTAATTTTATTATACAGTTAATAGTCTTTATACCAAGAATATGAAACATCCCTAATGTAAATACAATGAAATCATCAAATCTAAAACACCACTGACTGAAAGAGGCATTATTTTGTGTACAATTAAGAAAAAACACTGCCAATTAAACTATGACATAATGCCTTTTTAATCAGTGACTGTAAGATGTACTGTCATTTGAGAAACACCAGAATATGAAAAAATGTGCACCTCATAACTGATTAAATATAATTGACTCCTTATTATCACCTACGACATATGCAGTACTAGCCAGGTGTTCTGAGGTATTTCCTGCTTTTTTTAAGGAACACAGCCCTCTTTGAAGAGACAATGGTACTATAACTGAATCAATTAGTGAATAAGTGATAGTTAGTGATAATTGTTCCAGTATAGATAAGTATGACACAAATCAGGAAAGTAAATGATTAGCATCTTGTTTTCCTAATCCCACCCAACCCCCATCCCTTGCACTCTTTTTACAGCCAGACTCACAATGAGGCAGAAGGAAGACTCCCACTGTTTGCTATTTTGATGGTCTTATTTTCTTTTTGACATTCCAGTACTACCAAAAGGCCATAAAATATTATGGAGCATGAAATTTGAAGTTTTTGTGTCCTCCTTCTAGCCACCATTTACAATGAGAGATACAAAGTTACATAGATTTCATATAATAGATAAAGAGAGAGACCCACTTTCTTTTCCTTCATTTTTTACAGTATCCAGTCCCAAATAACAAGGCTCCTTGACAGAAGGACAGCTGCAGAATAAGGGCCATGGGCCTCACATAAAAGCTTTTTAATAAGACTGGAGAAGGACAATTATGTAAACAGGGTTATTCAATCTTAGGGAATGAAGATTCCAAGTTACAACACATCAGGAGAGAGAAGGAGACAGATTCTAGTCCATCTCAGCTGTTTAGATTTTAATCTTTTAAAACATTAGTGCTTCCTCAGTGTCCACACTTAAAGAAATCCGTGAAATACCTTTACTCACTGGATGCTAAAAGCCTCTGGATGCTAATAGTACCTTCTGAGGACCCATCAAGTGTACATGTTGCCCTGTGTCACACAACATTCCTCAGGGCAGCGCCCCCACTGCTAGGATCCAAATCAGCCTGACTTCTTCTTGACACAGGATCACACCATGTTGATGTCCAATTTATAGTAATAAATAACCTCATATAAACTGGCTGTCAGTGGGGCTGATACCCAAGACAGTAAAAGAGGTCCTCTTTTGTTGAATCTTTATCATCTTAAGTCCCCACAATTACAAAGTTGTGTAAGGAAGCAACAGTCATAATGTAAACACATGTTTATGAATGCACTGACCACTTGGAAACATCTAACCCGGCTTAATACCCCAACCATCTTGTCAGTCTTTGTTGGTCAATCTTTGATTGATAAGGTGATGAACTTATTGTCCAAACTGAGAATTTCTGAGAGTGAAGGGAATGCTATTAAAAATTACCCAGTGTAACAAGCATACTTTGTTAATAAGCATAAATAGGGCTGTTTCTACTCTTGATTGTCAGACAATGCAAACCAACTGCAAAATCAATCTTGCAAAAGACAAGATTTTAATGAAAGTACTGTTGGAGAACTGCTCATACAAAACCATTGATAAATGAAGACTTGGCAAATTTAGCCCTGTTATCAACTGAAGAAGGGATAAAAAATGAAGACATAAGTGCCTCATGATACTCTGAACAGGATAAAGAGAGGACTTCGGGAAAACTGATGAGGCCCGTAACTACTGTTTTAAACTATGCTGTGAAGTGAAGGCCTCCATGATGGAATTGTCATATCTCTCAGCACCATGTGTACAACTTATTTATGGTCTTTTTTCTTCCACTAGAAAATAAGATCTGTGAGGACTGAGGACAGGGACTTTACCCTACTATATTTTCAGTGCCTAAAGCAGTCATTGACACATAATAGGTGCTTAATATATTTTGCTTAATAAATGAGTGTGATAATTGGAAAAATAACAACCTCTCTTTCTCTCCAAACTCAATAATACCTGATTAATTTTTCTTTCTTTTAAGAACTGGCTCGTGGTTTCAACCATAATTTAAACTTTAACTGTAAAATTAAAATAAACATTTTTCATACTTTTTGGGTTTTTTTTCAAGATACTATCCCGATCAAATCTTTCTTTCATAATTTATTGTGAAAACATTGAGATGGATTTGGGGGCTTTTCTGGTAATGAAGGTAATGAGGACTTCCTATACTAAAATCTGTTTTCTTTTTTTTTGTCTTTTTTTCATGACCAGCAACGGGTTTCGCAACCCTCAGTGTCGCGCCCGTACCGGACTGGGACCGGCAACGGGATCGCTACCCTCGG